TTGTTTATTTGTTTGCTGTTAAGCCAATTCACTAACAAGCCCTATCTCTAGAGGCTGTATATATCAGATCAAGTGGCAACCAATATATTGGCGAAACCCTCAGACCCATCAACATCAGACTGAAAGAACACCAGACTTCCGTCAACAAAGTCATCCGCCATTTCCGAACACAACAGCAAGAACCAAGAACCAAGACCATACAACCATGTTTAAAGCCACTGAAGAAACAACAACAACAAAAACAACAACTGGCGTCAACGGAAACTACAAGAGGCCACAGTCATCAAGAGACCCGAACCAGCCTTCAACCGTGACCAGGGAACATACCTGCTTGGCGATGTCAGTGCTTAATTACCCATTAGTGGATTTTCTCCATTAGCAATCAGCGCCAATTAACTACTTACTTCCCTTGTTTAGTGTCCAACTTTGTTATCTCAACACTGTTGTTGTTTCACGTCTACATATACAGCTATCTGCTACCTAGCTTTTAATCAATCAATCTTTATTTACAGTACTCAAAAGGCCATATAGTACATTTTTACATACAGTGAGTGAGTGAGTATAGTTTTAGCAATATTACTGCGGGGGACACCAGAAATGGGCTTCACACATTGTGCCCATGTGGGGAATAGCACCCGGGTCTTCGGCGTGACCAGCGACCGCCTAACCACTAGGCTACGCCACCGCCCCAAGTAGCAAAGGGTTCAATAGAAACAAATATCACAAATAATATCACGTCTGTAATGCAGAGGATCTGATATTCATTGCATGGTATACATACATTGCTACTTTGTGACTAGAAATATTTTTATATGTATTCTTTTCTTATATTTGTATACAATGGACAAACAAGCAAGAAATAGTATTCATCTTCTACCTCCTGATAATGACAATGTTTACACAATCGGTTTCCCATGCTATCCCGAAATCTCTACATTTTTCTATTAGAAGATCATGAGAACTACATCTGAAAAGGGATAGTGCTGTTCGGAATATCTTAACAATGTCTAAAAGATATTTTCCAGTAAGAATGAATGATTTAAAATAGGAGTAATGATTTAACATATTGTGTAAACATATTGACTGACTAACCGACTGAGTTTGGTTTTACGCCGCTTTTAGCAATATGCCAGCAACATCACGGCGGGGAACACCAGAAATGGGCCTCACACATTGTACCCATGGGGGGATTCGAACCCGGGTCTTCGGCGTTTGCATTGTTTGTAACCAAACATGGCCGCCATTAGGCTAACCCCGATCAAGGCCCGAAAACTTCTCATCCAGACCCTCTCTGACAAGGGTGTACCAGTACATCAAATCAGGCAAATTTTCGGGCACAAACATGTACAATCAATAAACAGTTACTATTCAATTAATGAGAAACAACATCAGTCCATCAATAAATTGTTGTCAAACCCTTGTAAATCCTCCACTCTGCCCACTCATCCTCAGCCTGAGGCTGCCATCTTGACGTCACAGTCGTTGTCGCATGCCGTAATTCTTCATTCTGTACATACACTATTCTGAGGTCCAATTTATGGTAGTGTATTCCACTTCACCATCTTCGAATGACTCCTCTGTCAGTCGATTATCTGCTCCTAAGAGGCGTATTCTTCCCATTGACTCGGATTCCTACTAGAGTTATCCTTCTTGGAACTGCTGTACATGTACTCTACTGGGACCATATGACGTGACTGTAACACGCCTTCCACAGAACAAAATGTTGTTTAATCTTCAAACTTGTTGAGTTTCTTGACAGAAAACTTTTTCTAGATGTATTCGGTGGATGGTTGTCTTTTAGATTTCCAAACTTTTAACCGTTGACTTTCCCCAAAATTGACAGGTTTTTGACAAAGTTTAAACACTAAACCGTCACCCGTCACTAGACACACGTCAGTCGTGAATGAACGATGTTCCGTCCCACTGACTTGATCAAATAACGGTTTAGCTGTTATTAAGTTCAATGATATATTTAAAAGATCATTTAAACATATTAACAAATGTTAATTAATTATTCCAGACAAAATATTTTTGTTGTATTTTAAAGCGATTTTACGAGGTACTAATTTCCATAGCGTAGTTATGTTATTACCGCTGGAGAAGTTAGGTTTATACGCGCATGAATACGAATCAGCTGTTTGGGGTCACAAGTCCTGTCTCGTGGTGGTTTTTATTTCGTGGTTCTTCTTTTTAAATTACATTATTGGTAATAACTAGAATAACCAACTCGGTACGAGTGATTACGGGAAATATGCCCTCGTCGAACCCCCTACCTACCTACCTAACCTAACCTACCTACCTACCTACGCCATGGGAGCATGGTGGGCGAGCCCTAAGGCGCCTGGCTAGTGATCAGCAGGCATGAGGTGCCAGGATCGAGCCCACCTGTGACCGGGTGTTAAAACCTTGGAGTCAACTTTGTGTGCATGCAGACTCTTTCAGTGTTTTCACAACCCCTAGTGTACAGTACACGACCCTGTGCACTTAAAAGAGCCCACGAATCCGTTGGTATATGACCAGATGGTGGCCACATGAATACGTGCAAACACCTAGTTGCGGGTACAACAACGTGCAGTAAACTTGGACAAAGTACTGTGACTATGTGTCCCAGTTCACCCAACTGTGAATGGGTACCTCGTAAGGATGGGAAAGCCACAATAACTCGGTGCGCCTTGTGCCAGTAAGAGTTGTATGTTCCTCAGGAGCATTGATAATAAGATGTGTCGTTGAGACTGACATCCAATGATCGACGGAACAAATACCAGCGCCTTGAACATGCATTAGTGCGTGGATATGTGCGCTATATAAATTTTCAATAATAATAATACCTACCTACCTAAACCCAACAACCTATAGCTACCTACCTTCCCACCCACCCATTTACCTACGTACTTACCTACCCACCCACCCAATGTTTGCACCTCTGCTTGTGTGGTTAGGTTTCCAAATAGAAACTGTTTAGTCATAGGACAATATCTTCCTCATAGCTGCGGGGCGGTGGGGTAGTCTAGTGGTTAAAGCGTTGGCTCGTCACGCCGAAGACCCGGGTTCGAATCCCCACATGGGTACAACGTGTGAAGCCCATTTGTGGTGTCCCCCGCCGTGATGTTGCTGGAATATTGCTAAAAGCGGCGTAAAGCCAAACTCAGTCAGTCCTCATAGCTGCTCCTTACAGCCGGCTTTTACCCACACCAATGGGTGTGTACTGAGAGAAACTTTCATATTAACTTCATGACCTGAGACGCCATACATAGTTTATATTCTCATGTAACAAACACAAAACAAGCAAATAATTATACGATTTTTGTTAAACAAAACAGAAAAATTTTACAATGTTTATTTCATGTTGTTGCCTACAGGGCTCAACATTAATCTTTTTGATGTTTTTTTTCAAAACAAAATTCGCACAATTGTCGTGGGTTTAGATGTATAACGTTTCGCACTGTTTTCCAGACTGTAAAACTAGTCTGGGACATACGCGTGGGTGGGTTGAACTTAACAATGAAGCAAATCATATGAAACTCTGATTTTTTAATGAGTTTTCTTACTTTATAACTTGGGAAGTTTGTTTTGCTATTAAATGACGATAAAATCCCAAGCCTTTACGCGTGCATTTTGAATTGCACAACATTTTTGCCAACTTAAAAGAAAATCATCATCAAAACATCTATTAAAAGTCCATTGTACGTTCCAACGTCTCCATGGGAACGGGTGTTTATGGATCACTTTGTATTCAGCTATGTTTAATACTATGTTATCAAAGAGGATACTATGCGCTTACAAAACATCACCCTGAACATAATTTAGAAGCAGACCGTGCATAAAAATAAACTTTGTGAATTGTGTGAGTAAATCAAAGCTTTATTCTATCGCAAACGTTTATGTACGAGATTATCGATGATACTATTTCATATCGATAATCATTAATACTTTTTCCTTACGATACCAAAACACGTTTTACATTTGAAGAAACACTACATTATGATGGGTTCGGAAGAAAAAATGTCCTCCGCCTAGACATTTGTTAGTGATGTTAATAAATGAAACTGTGTTCTGGAAATATAAGTTGTCTTCATGTAGACATACGTGAAGATCCGGGTTAGAATTGATCTTCAGTAACTCATACTTGTGAGAGGCGACTAACGGGATCGGATGGTCAGGCTCGCTGACTTGGTTGACACATGTCATCGTATCTCAGTTGCGTAGATCGATGCTCATGCTGTTGGTCACTCTATTGGCTGATCCATACTCGATTATTTACAGGCCGCCACCATAAAACTGGAGTACTACCGAGTCTGGCGTTAAACAACAACCAACCAACCAAACATGTAGAACATTTGTACAAGTACACGGTGTTCCGAAAGAGTGAGTGAGTTTAGTTTTACGCCGCTCTTAGCAATATCACGGCGGGGGACATCAGTAATGGGTTTCACACATTGTAGAAGTGCTGTGTGCAGCATAGTGTGAAGCAGTTTCATTGTCTTCTCCCAAGCAATTTCTATTTTGTCTGTTTAACTTTCGTGCCGAAGACCCGGGTTAGATTCCAAACATGGGAGCAATGCATGAAGCCCATTTTTTTGTGTCCTGGGCCGCTAAAAGCGGCGTAAAACCATACTCACTCACTCACCATTGGCACTGGAATATGTTTAGGCAGGCAGGCTCATTACTTTTTATATGTAACTGCCTCTTGAGCACTCAGCTCCATGTATCCATATCAAGAATACGGCGGGCCATCTATGACGATTCTGGAGATCATAAAGGTTCCAGAAACATGTATGCAAGATTCATTCATGTTTTAAGTGTTGAAGTATATTTGATGATAAAACTTCAGCTTCAAGTGGTTAATTGTATTGTTAAAGTTCTTGTTTTAAAAGTACGAACTGAATCAACCGAAATTAGAACATTTCTGGCAATCAGGCGTAAGTAGATTCAGCTTGAGTTAACCTAATGCTCTACTCCAGATAGAACGCATAAAATGCAACCTTAGATATTGTGCAAAGTGGATTCCAGGATAAACACAACAGTGGTATGTATTACATACAACTCAGAGAGGTTACAAGTGCTTAATGCTTGACAAAACCGACATTGTACATTTAACGCATATACAGAGACAAAGAAAAGTCCAACGTGTAGAACATCAAACAGAGATGCACACTCATCATCAAAGCATTAACTCGAAAGTATTTCTATGAGGATGCCTCCGATGCACGTAAGAATATGCACGTACTATCAATACATTGTAGATCTTTTTGATTAAAGTGTTTTTTTCTTGATTGAGTCAAGAAATAACCTTTCTGACCAGAGTATCGTGAGTGGGGGTACCCTAATGAATTTATATGGCGGCCGTCTATAAATAATCGAGTCTGGACCAGAGAATCTAGTGATCAACAGCATGAGCATTGTTCTACGCAATTGGGATACGATGACGTGTCAACCAAGTCAGCGAGCCTGACAAACCGATCCCGTTAGTATCCTCTTTACGACAGGTATGGGTTACTGAAGACCAATTCTAACCTGGATGTTCACGGGTATCTTAGGTCAAGTATGGCGTAAACGAAGGTGAACGTGGGCGGTACATCGGTCAACAAGTGTGCTTGTCTCAGATTTGCCTCATACAAGAGTACCTAATGCCAGATATACTCCAAAAGGACACTTAAGGTATGCCATTGTGCTCTAACTGGAAATAAACTAATGGGTATTGATTATAATTCAGAACGCCCGGTCACATTCACTGCCGTCAGTGGCACGGCGGCGTCGTTAGGACACACAGTCTTGGTAGCTGCTACGCACAAGGATGTTTCTTCTGACTATTGCTCTATTTCTTGTAAATTCGACGTTTGTAAACGGTGAGTACTGCAATACCATTATATACACTGTTGTGTCGAACATCTGTTGTCTCGAAGTAAAAAATAGGTTCTGCATAATCGGTTGTGTCGAACCTCGCATTACCCGAATTACTAGTATTAGCGCAGGTCCTTTTAACTTCGACACAACGATGTTTGACTGTACAGTTAGTTAATCTTTCTGATTAATCCGAAAATTAATTTGCGTAGATCAATGCTACTAATGCTGATAACAGGATTGTCTGGTCCAGACTGGATTATTTACATACCGCCGTCATATAGCTGGAATATTGCTGAGTTCGGCGTTAAAGAAAGAAAGAAAGAAACAAACAAACAAACAACATCCTTCAGGCGTCATGTGGTTGACTCAGCTCTATTTCAAGAAGGTAGGTAGGTTTATTTAATTCCTCCAGATTTGGAGATACAAAATTAATTGAATATTAAAAGCTTAAGTTGTTAGCCACAAGTGTTGACATTTTATGATAGATTACTTAGAGTCTTTAGTCTCATTTTCCTCATTGCCAGGGGTGGTGGGGTAGTAATTGGTTAAAGCTATCGCTCGTCATGCCGAAGACCAGGGTTCGAGTCAACACATGGGTAAAACGTGTGGAGCCCATTTCTGGTGTCCCCAAGCTGGAATATTGCTAAAAGCGGCATAAACCTAAACTCACTCACTTACGCCTCATTTACCATATCCCTCTCTTGTGTTCCTGCATCTAGGCATCAACACTAATTTTGCACTTGGTAAACCTACCACATCTTCATCAAACACTGGAGGCAGTGGTAGGTGCGTTGATGGGAACAGAGATACGAATCTGTTCAGCGGCTCGTGCTGGGAGAGTTCCGGGGGAGACATGCAACCCTTCTGGATGGTAGATCTTGAAGCAAACTACTTCCTGAGCCATGTAACGATTACCAACCGAGGCGATTGTTGCGGTAAGGAGAATTCGAAATTCTTTACATACCTCTGTGTCAAAGCAATTCTATTGTTAATTTCATGTATGACATATTAGTTATCTTTCATTAACCATCAAATAGACAATTCTTTTCCACTGAATCTTAAATAAATTGAACAATGAGACCACCTGTTCTGGTTCATATTAAAGCGGTGTAAAACTGCACTCACTCACTCCTGCAGCTCAAGCCTTTGGTGTTCACATGTCACAACGTTCGACGTACACTCGAGCATGCTGGTTTCAAAGTTATCAAAACGTTACACAACTCTTGATCAGAAATTGTTTGATCAAGGCAGCACCATTCAATGACTCGGAAAGCTTTCGGGAAGATTTGTTGAAGACATGTGGAGGACATTCCAGAATTTAACGCATCAGTAACAAAATGATATCCAAATAAGTTCCCTATTTTGACCTTCGGAACAGCATGCCGCTCACATTTCGCCCTGGTGTCATCACTATTTCATAGTGATTAAAGAACACGTGCTCATGATAAATGTACAGGGGCGGTGGGGTAGCCTTGTGGTTAAAGTGTTCGCTCGTCACGCCGAAGACCCGGGTTCGATTCCCCACATGGGTACAATGTATGAAGTCCATTTCTAATGCCCCCCGCCGTGATATTGCTGGAATATTGCAAAAAGCGGCGTAAAACTAAACTCACTCACTCATTAATAATTGTACAACTGACTCTGCCTTTAGCAGAGACTTCTTACGGATGTGGCAATGAATTTGTTGTTTTATTGGATCATGTTTTTATTCAGATGACAGATGACTTGCCTTTGCATGTGTTTGTGACAGGGCATGTTTGGCTACCTTTTTCTTTAACGCCTGGTATCATCACTATTTGAAGCCAAGTGGTTGAGGCGTTCGCTCGTCACGCCGAAGGCCCGGGTTTGATTCCCCAGATGGGTACAATGTGTGAAGACCATTTCTGGTGTCCCCCGCCGTGATATTGTCGGAACATTGCTAAAAGCGGCGTATGACCCAACTCACTCACTCATCACTATTTAATAGTGATTCGTAAACACATGCACATAATACAGTCGGAAGCGTTAATCGACTCTGCTTTCAGCTGGAATTTTCCAATGCAAATGGTTTTGTCGCTGATATTTATATATGGATTGACAGTCTTTGTAACCAGCCATCAACCAGTCATTGGTTTACAAATGTATTACGTGATACAAGTGTTTGATTTCTTGCACGCAAGTACATGCCAGTTTGTGACGGTGTTTAGCCTGTTTGCCTGTTTGTAGTACATTAAAACCAGTAAATATTCCACCAGTGTACACGGTTGTTTCTTATGAACATGCTCCGTTAGCTTCACGTTAGAAATGGAGCGGTGGGGTAGCCTAATGGTTAAAGCATCCGCTCGTAACGCCGAACACCCGGGTTCGATTCCCCACATGGGATTACGTGGAATAAGATAACCTTTTACGAAACTTGCCGCTGTCCAAGGTCGAGCACATGGGTACAATGTGTGAAGCTGATTTTTGTGTGTCCCCCACCGTGATATTGCTGGAATATTGCTAAAAGCGGCGATAAAACTAAACTCACACACTCACTCATTTATCGCAATAGTTTTGTTGGATATTATTGTAACACATTTTTGTATAATCGATAATCAATTAATAATTCAATAATAGTACATATTATTGATCTTTTTAGCCAGCCTTAGTCTTCTCAGTTAGTTAGAAGATGTCACTTGTTGTTTCCCTGCCTTGTGATTAGTGTATATTTTCCCACTCTGATTCAATATTATGTGCCAGAGTTGGGTATCTGTGTTGCAACTGCGGCAGTAAAACAACTAAGCAGTTAATTACAGTACACTACCGTTATAACGAACACATTTTGAGGATGATGTACCATCTGATATGTTAGACTGACTGACACGACTGGTTGGTTGGTTGGTTGTTGTTTAACGCGGGAGTATTCCAGCTATATGGCGGCAGTCTGGACCAGACAGCATCGATCTATGCAACTGGCATACGATGACATGTGTCAACCAAATCAGCTTGCTTGACTACCCGATCCCGTAAGTCGCCTTTTACGACAAACATGGATTGCTAAAGACCAGTTCTGATCTTCATGGCTCCTGAGTGACATGCCCGTCAGAGGAGGTCTGAACTCGCTGAACAGAGAACACTAACGTCAACTATGTCTGACCTTCCAGACACCAGATGCGAACTGTTGTTTTGATTTCAGTTTCAATATGTGGGGGATTAAGGTTTTCATACAGGATAAGATATTTTAGAGGCATCCTGTTGGCATCAGCCCGGCAATCATGAGTTCATGTTTGCCACAAACAATGCTGACAAAACCCTGGACACAGTCATGACAGGACTTGGAACCCTGGAAGAATTTCCCTATTTTGACAGGATACGCTCACCTTTTTGCAACACACCTGGTGTCATCACTATTTCATAGTGATCAATCAACACATGCTCATGGTAAAGTCGGAATTGTATATACTACTCTCCTGGCCAAACTTCTGATATGTTTAGCATTGGAGTGGATTGGACAAGTACACCCTCATTCAAATGTTGACATGGCTTCCTGAACGAGATGTAAGTTCCAACGTCTGCTTGTAGCAGACTCAAAAAGAGCAGAATATGCCGAGACATCGGCTTTACAGTTTCCACTGATGCCAACATGGCTTGGCAACCAACAAAATATGATCTATTTTTCAACCAGATTTCAACTGAGAATGGATAATCCTGCTTTTGATCTTTGATTGTTTGTGAGCTTCACAAACTTTCAGAATATGATGAAGCTGCATCTGGAAGACCTTTCAATGTATTGTAAATCAGTAACATGGTCTGAGCTTCTGTCGTGAAAATCGAGCTGCCATCAGTTAGTCGCAACGACATAGTACCATTGTCAATAACGGCTGCAGCTGATACATCCTTATCATCTTTTTACCCATCTGTATAAATACTGGTACAAGAAGGAAATTGGTTCTTTAGTTAATGACACGCTTGCTGGAAAAACAAGTAATTAGTTTCAGACTTCTTTAGTTTCGCTAAGCCTTAATTGACGTCTGGTTGTATAGGTTGTAATAGTGCCATTGTTATTGTTCTATATTCGGCTGTAGCAGAAAGATTTAAATGGGCAGTTTTATATGGGATTTCATGTGCCCAGTGGTGGGATTGTGTTTGGTTTCCTGTCATATAAACTCTGATACAAAGGATAGAATACATTGTTAATTGATGAATTAGAAGGATTGAGCGAAGTTAAGTGATATATAGTAATGCCAGTATTATTTGTCTTTAATGAAGACATGGTTTATTTACCTCAACAAACAGACTGTCAATGGGCGAGGTCCTGAATGCACCAAGAAAAAGTCGAACCCCTTGATGGTGAATGGTGTCACGTTCTTGAAGATGCGATTTTCGAGCTGAACCGTAAATGAAGCAAACACAATCAAGTTTTGATCCGATCAAAGCTCTTTATACGTGCAAAGGTGGTTGAAGTAGCGTAAAAATATTGTCCTCCTGAGAGGGTGCGTAAGCCCCACAACTTTCAAAGTAAAATATAAATTATCACATTTTAAACGTAGTATTTTTGTTATTTTAACTGTTGGCTAAATTTTCCTACAATCGCCAGTGGCTGAAGGGATGGTGTAAATCCAGCTAGGATCCATGCAGGTAGCAAAAGTAATGTAAGTCCCCATGGTTCCTAGTATGGTGATCTACCTTCAATTGTTGGCGATCTATAGCCCATATTTTTAAACTTATCCTATCTCACGGTATGCACCTCAGTAGTATAGGGAATGGGGGTTCTGGACCAAGTCCAACAAAAGCCTCTGCAAAGCCTTATTTCCCAAATAAGGCTTTGGGCGGACCCTTAGCTCTTGCTACCATTACCCCTACTGCTTTCCCAACCTATAAAAATTTCAAGCGACAGCGGGATACGAACTCCACATGTACGCGCCGGAGACATGGCTATGCCGTGTTGACAGGAGGTAACACTGTGCCGTACGGTACGATCAATAATTCTTCTCTTACAAATCCTCTGCCTGGCCCATCCCTCAAGTAGTACAAGTTCGGCTCGTCTACTTTCATGTCCACTTTATCTATGTTGTAAGTTTTGACTGACCATATAGGATCAGTGGCTCGCTTACGGCTATCACCCTCGTGTTCCCCAGGCTGGTATAGATACCTCACTAGGGCCCTATCTGGTATCTGCTTCTCCTTCCCACGCAATGGAGCCAATACCTCGGGCCGACTCTGACACTATTGATTTTAATTTTATAGCGTCTGCCGGTTTCTTGCCGGTGAGACGGGTGACTTCATGGTTGATTGCCGACACCACCTTAGGTAACCTCGTGACCCATTCAGTCGATCGTTTTCCCGGGGTGGCCAACTCCTAGCATACTGATGTCCGAATAAGCTCAGCCAAAGTCCTATTAAATCTCTCAACTATGGCTTGGCTGTGATGGGCTCCAGCCGTGCCACGCCTGACCTTTGTATCGCGTGTTTGGCTAGCAGTTGTGACCACGGCACCCATGAACTCCGCCCTGGGTCAACTTGCAGCTCTGTTGGCCACGCCAGCGGACTGCGTTTGTATATGCGTTCGAATCCTCTGGCTACCTGGACCGAATCTTTCGTGGTCAAGGGCTCGGCTTCCTTGTAGCGACTGGCTACGTCCACTACGATTAAGGCATACTTATACCTCTTATCGTGGGGTAGGAACAGTAGGTCTGCCTGGTGAACGCTATTAGGTATGTTAATACCAAACTTCCTTCTAGGCACGTAGCGTGGTGGCGGCAAATAGATCTGCCAAAGTGCTTGTTTTTCAAGCCACGCTTTGGCCTCCTCCGGCGGTACTTGCGCCATTTTAGCCAGCTTATCTACAGCGCTACCTCCTTTCCGGTACCCACGCGGGCTATAGTAAATAGCCTCAAACTTTCTCTGGCTCCGTGACATGTAAGCCCGATATTTATACCTATGTTCTTGGTTCAATTTTCTCATGCCCGTGCGCGCG